AGAAGGATGTATTGTGCCACGCTGCTTTTTTCTTCTTCTCCATATTGCGGCTTCCGTACTCTTTATCTGCCAGTTAGAGAGTTTTATCACAGTAATTTGGCTTGCCAAGAATCGTAATCTTTTATGACATCCCTCAGAAGTTCCGTGTCAAGCCTGATGCTTCTTGTGCACCATTCAGTGCAAACTGAGTCTGTTGTTATTGCTGTTATTTTTGCTTCACACCACCCACTGGGAAACATGGAATCTCGGAGTTTGCCGACTGCTTTGGTACCCTGGTATCTGAAAAGGTCTTCCTTGTTTATTTCTGTTCGGTTGAAACAATTGACTCCTTGGGGGGGGGGATGGAGTTTTCAGATTCATAAGAATTAATGAATGGCTAGATGGATCCTTCAGTGTACACACGGACTTTTTTTTTTGGCAGTATTAGACAAATATCAGCTTAGCCATTTTCCATTTCGATATTCTGTTGTGCATTAAACTTTCTACGAGTTAAGAAAGTATTGAGGCAACGACTGGCAACAGGACAGACATTTCCTTATCTTGTACAGGTAGTCCTCGACTTACGACCACAATTGAGCCCACAATTTTTGTTGTTAAACGAGAGATTTGTTCAGAGAGTTTGGTCCCATTTTACAACCTTTCTTTGTCAGGGTTCTGAGGAATGCCCAAATTAAATCATGAACCTTGAGCCAAGCTACAAAAGAAATACAGTTATTTTTTAGGAACTTCATGTCAGCACGTTCCCAAATGAAGCCAGCTTTGACCCTACGTAATTTACACTCCAACTATGACCCTGTTTCCCACCTCTGTACTGTATCTTCTCCTGCCTTCCGGCAGCTCTTCTCATTTGTGCACTAGGAACAGGCTCCTTCTGTTCCTCTGCCTCTCTACTGTCAGCCTCTGGAGGCTCCGAAGTCCTCACATCACTCCCCGATGGCCCTGGCCCCTTCTCTGCCTCCGACACAGAGCCCTCATCTGGGCCTTCCCCAGCCTCCAGGACTGGCCCATGTTCTTCCTCAGCCTCATCGCTATCCGACTCTGCTGCCAGCTCTGCAGTCTGCTGGTGGACCACAGATGTGTTGTTTCATATTATTAAAAATATTGTTGCAGGTTATAAGATGTTCCAGTTATTCTTAGTGGTAGAAATGGGGTTGGAATTGATTAGCAAATATCAAAGAAGGCTTTTAGAACTACAATTGGTCTTGAGTGTGATTGCACATCTACTTTGCAACGAACCGCATGCTTCAAACGAAAAGAGGTTTGTGATTTCATGATTTTAATAATTTATCATTCCAGTTCTCATCTCAATCAAGGCAGCGTGTGCGTTTGTTGGACCTGAAAAAATAGCTGTGATGTGTGATAAACTCACTTATGTTTTATTTGTGGCAAAGTGACAAAATAACAAAGTCAACTTAGTGAAACCTAGTAGAAAATAGAAGTAAAGTAGAGTAGAGTAGAGAAGAGAAGAGTAGAGTAGAGTAGAGTAGAGTAGAGTAGAGTAGAGTAGAATAATAGAATAGAGTAGAGTAGAATAGAATAGAGTAGAGTAGAGTAGAGTAGAGTAGAGTAGAGTAGAATAATAGAATAGAGTAGAGTAGAGTAGATAGAGTAGAGTAGAGTAGAGTAGAGTAGAGTAGAGTAGAGTAGAATAGGAGTTGGACAGGACCTTGGAGGTCTTCTAGTCTAACCCCCTGCTTAGGCAGGAAACACTACACCACTTGCGACAAATGGTTATCCAATCTCTTCGTAAAAATTTCCAGTGTTGGATCATTCACAACATCTGGAGGCAAGTTGTTCCAACTTGATTAATTGTTCTCACTGTCAGGAAATTTCTCCTTAGTTCTAAGTTGTTCTTAGTTCTAAAACAAGAGGACTATTAAATCTTGTTTTCACCACTCCATTTGACGTCTTTCTGTTATCATGTAACTTGCCTTAAAAATCTAATTTCTCAAGCAAAAGATTCATTTCTTCCTTCAATTAAATCAGATGAGGTCACAGATAGACTTTACATTGAAAATAAAAGATGTTCTTTTTTGTCTTAAAAAAAGACTATTTCACCCTTTGACTTATCAAACAGATAATAACTGTTCCTAAAAACCTGTTGTTGTTTTAATTTCATTTCTCCTCCATCCAATTACTTTGGTTTTTTTAGACGAGTCAATAACTTCAGTAATCTTCCTTACTTAGACGTTTTGTTCATTTATTATTATTTCTCTGCATGACAAATCTGCCACAAAGATTTTTTTTCTTCTTTCATTTGTTTTTTATTTTAATCCTTTTTTCTCCTGGCGCCTTATTAGAAAGTGAAAAATTACCATTTTATTATATATACTTTCATCATCTCTTTTTATTGTTAACCTGCAGAAATCAGCTGCCATAACAGACACGCTAACTGGATCTGTTTAATGCAACTTACTGTTTGCTTTTTTTTTTCAAGTATCTGTAATTTGTACTTTTTATAGTTATAAATTGATTTTTTTTATGACAGACAGACAGACAGACAGACAGACATCATGGACACACACAGATACATAGACCTCTTGAAAAATCTGACTGGCAGAATTGTTACTGTCTATTCTTATCCTAAAGCATAGAACCAAAAGCTAATCTTCTCATTAACATGCTTCAATTAACAGTTAATTAGCATCTTCCAGCATGAATCTTCTACCCAAACCAGGAAAATAGATTTCTGTTTCTGCTGCTATAGAAAAATTAAACAAATTTCCAGAGACTTTATGCTGTCAACAAAACAAAACAAAAAAAAATCATTTTTTTTTAATATTTATCAAAGTAGAATGAATATCAGCAAACATAATTAGCTTGCTAACGTAAGGGTTACTTTTATTTATTTTTTCCCCACCAAAGATTTTTGTATACAATGTGTAGAATTTATGATATATTCACTCTAATAGATTTTCTTTCTTTCTTTTCTTTTTTTTTTACTTTTCCTAGGGAAAATTGGTATTTATTATGGATTTATACAATTAATAGTGCAGCCTTTAATTTCCGCAGAAAAGGAGGTGTTGCTTTAGAAAAGGAGCACTTACTGTCACCCAGTTACACTAAAGAACAAAATGGGCTAATTAAAAAAAAAAATCCATTTCTTGTTGCCCCTTATCTTTTAAAAAAAGAAAAATATAAAACGAAATGAAACTGGGCGGATAAGGATATCATCTGGCTTTTTTAAAAAATGGAAACGCTCTGCATTTTTATTGATTTTGTAAGCACATCCGAATATTAGGCTTCTGCCTTCGTTCATCGGCTCTCATGACTTTTCTATCAAGGGAGATTCGGCATGCTGACTTCATATGCCAGTGATGGCAAACCTTTTAGGCACAGAGTGCTCAATCCAGTGGTGAAATTCAATTTTTTTTTACTACTGGTTCTGTGGGTGTGGCTTGGTGGGCGTGGCAGGAGAAGGATACTGTAAAATCCCCATTCCTTTGTTACTCCTGGAGAAAGGATACTGCAAAATCCTCATTCCCACCCCACTCCTGGGGGAAGGATATTGCAAAATCTCCATTCCCACCCCACTCTGGGGCCAGCCAGAGGTAGTATTTGCCAGTTCTCCGAACTACTCAAAATTTCCGGTACCAGTTTTCCAGAACCTAACAGAACCGGTTGGATTTCACTCCTGGCCCAAACCCAGAATACCGCCGAAACCTGACGATCAGCTGACCGGCATGCATGCATGCCTCAGAAACCTGAAGACCGGGTGGTCGGTGCATATGCACGCCTCAAAAACCCAACAACTAGCTGGCCGGCACGCATGCGTGCCTTGGAAACCCGATGACCAGCTAGCTGAGCTGGGGCGACGGTATGCGTGCCCACAGATAGGGCTCTGTGTGCAACCTCTGGGACACATGCCAGAGGTTTGCCATCACGGTCATATACCATCAAAATTAATTTAGGGCAGTGATACAAATCCTGAACTTTGGGAACAGATTGCTCAACTCCTTCAGTGCTATTATTGCAACTTTTACATTTCCCACCAAGCTGGATACCAGAGCAAGTGACACCCATATTTTAAGATCTGTTAGCTGGTGTTTTTTTTAAAAAAAAAATATCTCAATAGTTTCAGTTCTTTACTGTCTTTTATCCAATACAGTTTGTTAATCATAACCTGCACTGTGCTCTCGGATCTCTTTGTGTAACCAAAAGACATGAAGCACATCCTGTGGAATAGGTATAGAAATCATTTTGCAGCCCCTTTCCCCTTCCCAGCTTTTGATTGAAATGACAACGGCGACAACAACCCCCTCCCAAAAGAGACACTTAGGCAAGTGGGCAACGGGCACAACATTTGTCTAACTTGCCCAAGGCAGTTTTGGAAACAGTAATTCGCAAAAAGTACAGGAAGGTTGTTGAAAAGGAAAAACACAACAAAAGCAAAAATTAGTTCAATTTTAGTTAGTTGGTAATTTCCAGTGCCCGCAAGAAGTTTACGAAGTATATAATACAGAATGGGGTGGGAATGGAGATTTTGCAATGTCCTTCCCCTGTCATACCCACCAAGCCACGCCCACCAAGCCACACCATGCCACCAAGCCACACCCATAGAACCGATAGTTTGGATTTCTCCACTGCCTTCAAAAGTGGTACAAAGGTATATTTAAGAATATTGTACATAGCAATAGCACTTAGCAATAGCACTTAGACTTACATACCACTTCACAGTGTTTTCCAGCCCTCTCCAAGCGGTTTACAGAGTCAGCCTTTTGCCCCCAACAATCTGGGTCCTCATTATACCCACCTCGGAAGGATGGAAGGCTGAGTCAACCTTGAGCCGGTGAGATTTGAACTGCCAAATTGCAGGCAGCTGGCAGTCAGCTGAGGTAGCCTGCAGTGCTGCACTCTAACCACTGCACCACCTCAGCTCTTACTATATATTTTTCTCCCCTTCAGGCAACTTAAGTATACAAGTCAAGTCTATAAACAGACAAAGTTCCTCTCAGTTTTCTCTGCATAAACAACTCCTCTGTTTGCTATAATTGATACAGGAAGCATTGAAGGAAAACCATAAAAGAAGAGAAATGGAGGAAAAGACTAAAAGGGCCAAACTTGCCAAAGAAAAAGCAGAACGTGAAAAATTGGAACGGCAGAAGAAGAAAAAGCAGCTGATTGACATGAATAAAGGTAAGACGGACGTGGATGGAGCAAGATTGGGTAGTTCAGTAAATGCCCCCGTTCATTTGTCCTTCAGGAAGGGTATCAAATCTTGGTTCAGCTGGTTAGCCTGGGGCCCGAGGGGCTACTGACCTCTGGTGGTGGTTGACATGGTAAGAAGAAGATTTCATCCCTGTACTGTCGACCTCCTTGATTCCAGTTTATTTGTTAATTTAATACATTGTATGTATTAATTTTATTTAATAAGAAAATTTATGTGGTCGCTCAACTCAATCTCATTGATTGTGGGCAGGCTTACAAGGATCACATCCCAATACAAAAACCTATAACCCAGGGGCGAAATGCACTTACCTTTCTGTTGTGACCAAGGCCCACGTAGTGATTACCAAACACAATTCAGTCCTGAACAAACTTATTAAAACAGCTGAGAATTAATTCATTCTCAGCTTAGTCCAAAACAAATTCTTCATAACCAGTCTTACGGCCTTATCAACAAACTTTGATGTCTTTGGCAACCTGCCAAAAGCTTTTCTTGGCAAAAACCCAACAAAATTCAAGAGTCGCTGACAAGAAGCACTGGAATCAGCATTGCTTTTCTACAAAGAACCCAACGGCTCATTGTTGCTCTTTTAAGCCTTACGGGAGGGGCCAATCATCTCTTGGCCCTACTCGCAAGTCATCCTCTCTGCTTTCTCTGCTCCTGCCTTCTGGCAGCTCTTCTCACATGTGCCCTAGAAACAGGCTCCTCCTGTTCCTCTGCCTCTCTACTGTCAGCCCCTGGAGGCTGCACATCACATCACAAATTCTGTGTGGCCCCGCCCCCATCTATTCTCTGCCTCCCAAATCCCAGCTGATCGGGAGGAAATGGGGATTTTGCAGTAATCCCCATTTCTTTCCCCTGGAGTGGGGTGGGGTGGGAATGGAGATTTTATATTATCCTTCCCCTGCCACGCCCACCAAGCCACACCCACAGAACCGATAGTAAAAAAAATTGAAACCCACCACTGAACAGGGGATGTCTTATTTTTGGAGAAACAGGGTATATGTATATGTATATATACATACATACATACATACATACATACATACATACATACATATATATATATATATACATACATACATACATACATACATACATACACCCACACTCACAAGAGCCACACAGGATGTCACCACCACACATCCACGCAGAAAGCAGACTCAAACCCACACTGATAATGAGCCACGACCAAGGACCAGAAGCCAGACCGCAGCTGCATCATTAGCCACTTTAAACCTCTCCAATCCATACATGAAGCAGACTGACACCCACCATGAAGAGCTCGCACGGCCACAAACACGAAGCCAAACAACAACAACGCAGCTCACCAGCTCAAATCCCCCTGCAACTCAGACTAAGCTGAGCACAACCAAGCCCCCACCCAAACAGAACACACCCCCATCCAATCAGAGCACAACCAATCCCCCATCCAATCAGAGCACAACCAACCCCCCATCCAATCAGAACACACCTCCACCCAATCAGAACACAGGCAAGTTCCCACCCAATCAGCTCACACCCCCACTAGCAGTTAAAAGGAAGAGACAGCTGCGATCTCACATTGCTCCTGGAAGCACGAAGCCGAGAACACCAGCCTGAAGATGACGAATGAGACTTCGTTGAAACGTCGCCAAGACACTTCCAATTTTACGTGGGAGAAGACCCGAATAACCAAAGACCTACATACAAACACCCGCGAAAACCTGAGAAAACACACACATATATATATATATATATATATATATATATATATATAGGCACATTTTTGAGGCTGGGCGCATGCGCTCGCACAAGCGAGCAAAACACCTGCGCGAACCGATAGGGAAAATATGTGAATTCCAACCCTGCTTTAGGAACCAGCTTCGGTGCAGATTGACAATTGGATATGATAAAGGAAGCCAGGCTGGGCTTGCTGGGTAACTGAACTGCCACTATATTGTGCGCAAGGGCATTCGTTGAGAGAGGGTATGAGGAGGAAGGCAGAGGAATGAATCAATAGGCTCTTAATATCTCTGCTTTGCAGAGTTGCAAAGCACTGTTGAAATGCACGCTTTCTTCTCCATCCCATCGGATTTCCGAAACAGAGAAGAGAGATGACACAAATATGAATGAGATTGAACGAGAGATTACTTCAACTCTGCAGTTTGCTGGTCCTTCCCTCTGTGATCATTTCAGTTCCGTGGTGAAGCACAGCTTAATCCATCCCAATCATAAAAACACATAAAAAATGCACAGTGTGTGACTGCAGCTTGTCCTTTTCTACCCAGCGAGCAAATCTGATGGGATTCAGTCCGAGGGAAGGGGGGAAAAATAGCAATATTTCTCTCTTGACAAATATTATACAAAATGCCAAGGTATATTAGTTGTGTATCAGAATAAATCACATAATGAGTGTGAATTGAGGTAGTGGGACTCCTTAGGGCTTCCACAATCACTTGTATCTTTACAATAAAATCAGCATAGGTTGTTATTTTGGGTTATATTTTTTAAAGGTAAACCATCTTTGGTTTGTAATCTATTATTCAGCAAGGCAATTAGTGCTGCATTATTTTAAGGGTTGGGGTTTTTTTTTTAGCTTCTAAAAAATTGTATGTGTTTGTATTCCTGCTTTGCTCTGCAGTAAGTTTGTATATTTGATAGCTTCAGCAAGGTTACTTACATTTTTCCCTTCTAGTTCTAAATTAATGTTGCGTAGGTCCCTCCAATAATTGAAAGGAATTTTAAGGGTAGATGATCACATTTAGCAATGTATATTTCCTTGCTGATTCAAGTTCTGACTGCTTCCTCTAGTTCAGCGGTCACCAACTGGATGTCCGTGGGCTACTGGTGGCCCGCGAGAAAATTTTGGTGGTCCGCAGAAAAATTATTTGCATTTTTTATATTTTATATTTAATTTTTATATAAATATATATAAATATATATATATTTATATTTTTATATTTATATATTTATATTGTACAAGGGATAATAAGTGTAAGAGCCATGGTGACTCAGTGGTTAGAATGCAGTACTGCAGGCTACTTGTGCTGATTGCTGACTGTCAGCTGCCAGCAATTTGGCAGTTCGATTCTTACCAGGCTTAAGGTTGACTCAGCCTTCCATCCTTCTGAGGTCGGTAAAATTGTTGGGGGCAATAGGCTGACTCTGTAAAACCTCTTAGACAGGGCTGTAAAGCATTATGAAGGAGAATATAAGTCGAAGTGCTATTGCTATTAGGAGCCCTGGTGGCACAGTGGTTAGAATGCAGTATTGCAAGCTAACTTTGCCCACAGCATAGAGTTCGATCCTGACCGGCTCAAGGTTGACTCAGCCTTCCATTCTTCTGAGGTTGGTAAAATGAGGACCCAGATTGCTGGAGGTAAGAGGCTGACTCTGAAACCACTTAGAGAGGGCTGTAAAAGCACTGTGAAGCGGTATATAAGTCTAAGTGCTATTGCTATTACTAATTCAGATCACAAGTCAACTGGGTTTTTTTTCCCTCCACTTTGAATTATGGTAAGAATATAAGACATGTATATTGCTGTTACGTACCTGGTGAATACATATCTGCATTCAATCCAATACGAATCTTTAATCTTATGTGTAACTAAGCCGATATATCTATTCAGTTGTGACATTTCTTATGAGGTACATAAGTATGTAGAATGAAACGAGGGACACCCACAATAGTAACAAGCTTTAATGCAACAAATGTATTAGAAAACATTTTGATGCAAATATTACTTAATCAGAAACAATTTACATCTTCATTATCACTGATTACCATGGCAATTAAAATCACCTGTAAACTTAGTGGCATAAGAATAAAAGGAAGAATGAGCTGCCTCACTTACAAATTAGTGTTGAATTAATTGTTTTGAAAGGTATATTAACATTCCCTTAACACAGATGAACATAATAGAGTGAGTTTATTATTGGGGATTGACGGCTATCTGGCATGTCAAGGTATTTCGCCTCAGAAAACACATTAGCATCCAAATAGCTAAATCCTAAGCCCATATCTATTAATATTCAAAATTGCATTGTGTGAATAGCTTCATTGTACTTCATGCAGCAGAGTTAATTCTGTTCTTCTGATTAACAATCCAGGGTAAAGAGACCCAATTGGTGTTAAAACAGATGAATCCATCGGTTTTAACTTCCCTTGACAGATCTAGGTAACTAATGCAGCTCTGAAATGTATGAAGCATAGTTACAGACTCTTTTATCTGACATCAAAATGCCTTTGTCCTGCACCGAAACCATCTGGTTTAAAGCAGTCCGATGACCTCATGCTTGGACATCCTTCGGTTTCATTGATCACGATAATTGATTACAGGAGGGGGGGGGAAGCCTTGAAACATCACAAGGACAAATGATGTTTTGATAGGGTGCTAAAACATGATTTCTGAGGGTAAGGGCACACTACTCTGGATGGGTGAAGAAACCATTCCATTCCACCACCGTACAGCAGTGGCCAAAATTGTAGAAACCTTTTGGGAAAAGTGTATTTTTCTAAAATTAGCTAATACCCGTGTTTCCCCAAAAATAAGATCCTGTCTTTTATTTTTTTGAACCCTGAAATAAGTGCTTGGCCTTATTGCCAGGCGCTCAAAAGCCTGATTGGTCTTTTGGCTGCCATCAGCCAAACAATGTAGGCTGGTGACCCCCAGGGGGAGGGCCTTCTCTGTGGGGGCACCTACCCTCTGGAATCAGTTGCCCCCAGAGATAAGGAGAATCCAAGACCTCAGTGCCTTCCGCCATGCCCTTAAAACCCACTTTTTCCAGCAAGCCGGGCTGGCTTAAGAAGAAATTTTTAAAAGTTTTAAATTGGTTTGTGATTTTTAATTTTTGGGCCAAATTTATATATATATTAATTGTTTTTTAATATTTGTATTTCATGTTCTTAATTCTGGCTGTATACCGCCCTGAGTCCTCAGGGAGAAGGGTGGTATATAAATTGGAAATAAAATAAAATAAAATAAAT